ACTCCCCCCCCCCCGCCTCCAGCAGTCCAATCTATGGCTGGCAAGGGTTGGCAGAGTTTTGAATTCCTGGTTAAAATTCCTTTCAGCTATGCCGTAGAAATGCAGAGACTCACAGAGGAAAATAACTACAAGCTCCCCAGATAGTCCACCCCTTTCTCATTAACTGGCACATCAGGTTGCAAGAACTCGTTCTGAGACATTTGTAAGAAAAAGATTTTTTTAAAAAAATTGCTTTACTTGCACCTGCTTGAAATTACAGACTAGTGTATACTGCTTTCTTTACTTCACACATACTCAGCAAGCTGCTGAACAGATCAACAGCAAACGAACGACTGCCTCCAACCGAGGAAAGAGAGAGGAACAAACACTCAGCAAAGAGGCAAAGCTCTCTTTGAATTTCAAAGGCTGGAGGAAACGAATGGTTGGCACAGGATAGCTAGATAATCAGCCCAGCCCAGAAAAGTCCCCCCCCCCAAACTATAGGCAGACTGCAAACGTTCCAAAGAAAACACCATCAGCAAGGTGAGGGTTATGGTCTCATTTCATACAAAGTTAAACCTCTTGTGGGAAAGGAAGCCTGCCTGCATTGCAAAGGAAAGCTGGGCAGATGTGGTTTTTTTTGGGGGGGGGACATTCACGTGATCCATCTATGCAGTAAAAAACTTCAAGGTTGAATAATAGCTTTATTGGACCACTTAAAATATTCAAATGAGGTGAGATTTCATGCTCTCCTGATGTTTTCATCAAAGAAAGACCATGTATGATTTGGGGGGTGGGGAGGAGGGAAGCAAGTAGCCCCCCCAAAAAAATCAGGCCAGATGTGATACCTTGGTTTTGAATGCAAACTGCTCGCGGGGGAAGGCGGGATCTGCCAGTTCAGTTTGAATCTCCAGCTCTCTGCTCTGCAGCAGCTTGTTTTTGCACTGAGTACAGAAACTCTTAACTCGGCTGATAAGGGACTAACCACACACACTGATAAGGAATGCAGCTGCCTAACATTTCCACAAGGTTTCTGAGACTCCACAGGGGAGCACTGAGAACAAAGTCCAATAGGATCTCGTCACAACCTTTTACAAGGAGATAAATAATGTGCGACATGCATATGAGCACGAATAGACATTCACGGTACAAAGCCACTGCATCTTTATTCAGGTGGAAGTTTAGCTGGACCCATCGACTTGCACTGCGCATTTTAGAATCAGAGTCTTAAAAATTTGCTAGATTCTACCTAAACAAGCCGTCCTCACACTGCTTTCTTCAAAGCACTGCCTGCCAAAACGAAATGTTGCAGAAGGACAGATGGCGGTGACAGGGTCCCACATGGAAAGTGGACACACAGCAACACTCAGAGCCGCCTACATTTCAAACGAACCCTCGTTCCCTTTACATATCTCCTCTGCCACATCCTGTCCTCTGCATGCTGTGGAAGCAAAGGGTGTATCCTGCATCCATTCGCTCAGCCTCTCTGCCTTTCCCACCTGCATGTCTTTGGATCTGTGCTTCTGCCACCCTCCTGTGCTCCTGTGTTCCTTCCTCCCACCTGTCTTTCGCTTGGCTGGCGCTGCCCCTCCAGCTTTATGTAGAGAGAAGCTAGCAAATAACAAATGAAATAAGGTAATACAGCACCAAAGCCCTCCCCCTCATGGACACCACTCCCCACCCCCTACCCCGGATGATGGCTAAAATTGAAGGAAAGTGACCTCCATACCTGTCAAGCTCTAAATATGGAGACAGAAGAGGCCAGGCTAAGCCTATGGAGAGCAAAAGCAACACACTTTGCTGGAGGGATGGATGCTGAAGAGTGCCCTTCCACCAGGACACAGATCTAGCTGGACCACCTGGAAGTCATTTAATAGACTCTGGAGCAAAGTAGGAAGATCAAAGAATAATTGGGGGAAAATGGGGCTACGTAGATACAGGCCAAACATGTCGTGACGGTGGAGAAATTCACTCCATGCAGCCCTTGCATGCATGCAGTTTATGCCCCACCGTGTCTACTAAAGAAGATCTAGCAAATGGCTGAGATCATGCTACTGTGTTGAAGTAGCCCACTTCTGGTCAAAATCGTCTAATGCTCTTAACATTTTAATTTGTTTTTAATTTTAACTGTATTTCACATACGAGCATAAATGTCAATGGTGCAATGCTGGGATAGGAACCAGGAAAGAAGACGTGTTATTGACCAGGAGCCCTCTGTGTTTTATTAGGGGTCAAAGTCTCAGAAGGGGCCCCATTCCCTAGGTACTTATGGGTGGACTGCAAATCAAGATAAAAGCTCATAAAACCAGAGCACAGACAGAGCACAGAGCACGGACAGAGTTCCTACTCCAGTCCTCTGAAGATGCCCATGGCCACAGAGACTGGCGAAAGGTCTGGAAGAACAACCTTCAGAACATGGCCAAAGAGCCCAAAAAAACCACAACCACCATCAGATCCTGGCTGTGAAAGCCTTCGAGAATGCAAAGCTCATAAAACATACCTGGAGGACAAACCACCCAGTGCCAGCTGTCTTCTGAGTGCTGCACTGGTGGCTTTTGAACATCGCAGAGCCAGGAGCTACATCTTTAGTTCAATCATGAATTTAGCGACTGTCATTAATTTTTGACCCTACACATATTGTTAAAGTGACAACAATGCTATGGTGGCCCTGTTTAGGTCAGGCTAAGCACCAGCTGAGTGTCTGGACCTACCACTTAAGTACTTTAAATGAAGTTCTTGGCTGTCCTTTAAGTCAATCAAAGTCAACGTGTGAAAAATCACTCTACGATTTTGCCAGACTGCAAAACTTGCAAAGTGTGTCCGCAAATCAGACCAAATGAACAACAACAACAAAAACCCCCACAGCAACAACCAAGAAACAACAAAAAAAAATCAAGGCACTATAAATACACTATAATTTAATGGGAGTTTTTAATGGATCATGTTCTCTGGGTCCCCCGCTCCCAATATGCTTCCACAGATAAACATGATTACAGACTCTGAAAGTGTGTTCAGTTGAGGGAAAAGTATCTGTGCAGGAAAACTACTAATTGATGCCAGATGGGACGGACACCCACAAAAGAGAACTAAGTCAATGCCTGCAGGTGAGATGCAGCTCAATTTATACTCGTAGCTTTTACACCCATATCAAGGTGGCTCATAATAAAAACACAAATAAAATGAAATGTAATGGAAAAGGCAATAAAGTGGTATAAAAAAAGCAAATGATTATAAAGAATGTAAAAATCATTTAATAAGGAAATCTTTACTGTGGATATGGACAGCAACACAAAAACAGATGTACACAAAAATTCCACAATGGGTAGCGCCAATAGAAGCCTTTACCCCACCCAAGATTGATCGATTTATCAAAACTAGCAAGACATAAAACCTTAATAAAGGAAAGATGGGGCATTAAAGACAAAAGAACTTACAATCCCAGGCATAGAGATGAACTGGTGGACACATTCCCAACTTGACTCAAGATTTGTAAAAGACAAGAACGAGGGATTTTATCCAGATTCAACACTTTTTGATAGGATACTTTTAGAAACAAAAGAAAAACATATTAAAACAATATACTACAATTTACTAGAGTATAAAACACAAGAGGAGATAGTAAAAGACTGTATGATAAAGTGGGCTCAAAATATAGGGCATAATATAACTATGGAACAGTGGGAATCACACAAAAGACTATCAACATCCATCAATCACAGTGACAGATCATCTCCACACCTTATCACAACGATACACCCATAACAAAAAACACCCTGATCACCATAATCCCCCCATCTCCTGAAAAGGACAAAAAGCTGATCCCATAGCTACAAATACCCAACTATTCCACACACTACACCAGAACACAAACAGAGTTCTAACTCCTATCTTCTGAATATTCAACTATCTCACACACTACACAAGAACACAGACAGAGTTCTAACACCTGTTGTCTGAAGATGCCAGCCACAGAGACTGGCAAAATGTTAGGAAGAAAAACTTTCGAGAACATGGCCAAACAGCCCAAAACCCTACAACAAGCTTACTTTACTTTTATTAACTAATTTATTTAATTTATACCCTGCTCATCTAGACCGTCTCCTCTGGGTGGCTATCAACAATCCATGAAATAATAACAATATAAAATAAAACAACATTAATTTAATTCAAGACGGCGAGAAATTAGCTGATGACAAGAGGGAAAGCCTGCCTAAAGAGCCAGGTCTTAAATTTGCTGTTAAAACACCCAGCGATGGAGCCAAGCAGATTTCTGCAGGCAGACTATTCCAGAGGTGAGGGAACAATATCATTTTCATTTTATTTTTATTTTTTTAGTTTTTGTTTTGTTTTCTTCCTTTCCTTCTTTTTTTGTATGTATTCTCTATACTGTTTTAAATTGAATAACGTGTTTTTTTTAAAAAAGGGCAATAAAGCAGCAACAACACCCCCAAAGCAAATAATACACCAATAGACTCATAATATCTATTTTTAAAAAGCATACTCTAAAGCCAATGGCTACTAATTTCCATGCCAGCTTGTAAGCCAGCACGATAGAACTGTGTTTTCAGAGTTTTAAAAAGCAGCAGACAGACAGCAAGAAATCTGTTACATCTAAGACTAATTGTATTTGTTGATATGCTTAATTTATGACTGTCCATCTCCCCCCCCCCCCCATTTTTCCCTGGCCTCAAATGAGACTTTCAGATTGTGGAGCGGCTCACAGCTTTCTACCAGCCACATTTGTTCTTATTGCAACAGCTGCTCTGATCATGCCCATAATCTCTTAATTAGAAATGTTTCCTTCTGTCCTGACTGGCCATTCCGATTTTCCACCCTGTGAATATTGGCCAAGAAACAAAACGAAAGAAGATTTTTCGGTTGCCATTTAGGATCAGTAAGAGAGTGACACAAAACCCAGGACGCTTTTGTCAAAATGCCTCTAAAAATGTCTCTTAAAAGTACCTTTTGTGAGTCAGCAGAGACCACCTCCCGTTGTACCGACACAGTAACATTGCATTTACCTGTTGGATCAGTTTTAACACCATAACCACTTGTTCTATTATCCAAATGTAACTAATTATAGGCAATGATATTACTTGCCATGAATTACTTCCCAGCTCAAGAAGCAGCGGTAGCGCATTGAAGCAGCATGCATGTGCGCATAGGGTCATGCTTTTGGCTTGCACGAATCCAGGGCATCACCTGTGGGGAAGAAGTGCTCTGGAGCACCTCCTGCACATTTCTTGTGCAGAATTTCCCCTCCGCTTGTGCTCCCTGGACTGTCTCCCCCCGCCCCACATCACAGCATCCCCATCTACTGACGGAGCTATCTGCCTCGGTTTTGCCTCTGAGCAATGCCGTTCCTCCCCCCCAAGAACATCTGCCTTCCTCCTGCAGCCACCCTGGCATGAGGTTTTTGCAGAAGGGCAATGGCAGGCCACGGCTCGGTTTACCATGCACAGTGCGCCGGGTGAAGGCGCATCAGCAGGATGGTGCTCGCTTCTCCACAGCTTCCTCCCAGAGCCCACAATGTCAGCAGCTGAGAAGCAGCAGATGTGAAAGCAAAACTCTCTCCCCGGGCGGGCGGCCGCCCTCCCTCTTGCTTCAGCATCTGGGCCATTGACGTAACACCAACACCACCGGCTGGGGCCCCTTTCCCTCCTGATCATTACTCTCCACAGGGCTTGCTGCTCCCATCCTCCTTTCCTGGCTGGCAAGGATCACAGCCTCACCAAGTGGTGGATTTTTTAATCCACAAAAGCTGGCATCGATCATTTTGGTTTCTAGTGGACTTCATGGAGGTGCCCACATCCTTCTGCATTTGTTTATCTGGCCACGACCAAACGGCTTCCTTGGGGTTCATAGATAGTATGAATCTATTGGTGTATTATTTGCTTTGGAGGGTATTGTTGCTGCTTTATTGTCTTTGAAAAAACACTTTATTTAAGCTTTGTAGAGCCCCTCGGGAAGCAAAAGCCGGCCCTGCCATGGCTCCCACCCCAGCCAGAGCAGCGAAAGAAGCCCATGAGCTGCACCGCGGGGGGGTGGGGGGGCGCTTGGTTCCTCTGCTGGTTTTGTCCCAATCTCTACACCTCATGTTGGAGGGACAGCAAGGAAGGGCGTAAAACCCGCACACATTTGAAAGCGTGAAGCTCGCGCAACTCCCTCGCAAGGGAAAGGAAGGGGGGGCTCTGTCTTCATGAAGCAGTGGGGCCGGCCTTGGTCCCAATTTCCTTTCGTCTCTAGGACTGGCTTTTGGAGAAGGTTTCGAAGCTGCTCTTTTTAAAATGCCTTTAATCCCAAACGGCTTTGGGAGCCCCACGGGGTGTGGAGAGCGGTGATAAAGGCAATGCCCCAAATCCTCTTGCCGAGTGTAGTAAGTCACAACTAAAGGAGGGACATTTCAATCAATGGAAACTATGGCGTAGTTGACTCGCCAAATTCCCCAGTGATTCAATGGGCCTACTCAAGGGTGACTTGCTCTCCTAAGTAGGATTTCAGCCATGGATAATAAGTAGCCTACGCCAGTGGTTCTCAAACGGGGCTCCCCAGATGTTCTTGAACTGCAACTCCCAGAAGCCGTCACCCCTTGCTACACTGGGCAAGATTTCTGGGAATTGCAGTCCAAGAACCTCTGGGGAGCCCCGTTTGAGAACCACTGGTCTAGACCACTGGTTCTTAACCTTGGGTTACTCAGGAGTTTTGGACTGCAACTCCCAGAAGCCTTCACCACCAACTGTGCTGGCTGGGGTTTCTGGGAGTTGCAGTTCAAAACCTCCGAGTAACAAAGGTTAAGAACCACTGGTCTAGACCACTTTCCACATGAGGTGGAAAGATAATGAAATAAAGCAAGTTCCAAAGCTTCGAGGCAGCAGGCTTCGCGATTTCCCTTCTGAAGATGCAGGTTGCAAAGTATTTTCCAGCGTTGTAAACAGAGGGAGCAATCCTGTTGAGTCACTACAGTGGTTGTGTAACTTGACATGGCAACAAGCTCATGGTGGCAACTCAAGGGTCGGACAGCATCGTTTAGACTTGGGGCCCACTGAACGCACACGGACCTGATGATGCTCCAGCCGTATGCCCCACTCCCGAATGTCACAGTTGCACCCTGTATGGCACTCTTGGAAAGAATCACTTTCCTCCTTTTTGCGAGAATTGTAGAAATTCACAGCAACAGCACTTTGATCCTTCAGCTGCAGGGATGACAGTACATGGAACACCAGCCATGCGTTGTTTTATTCCTGCTGCAGCCACCAATTCAACTCTGCGCTCCCACCACCTATATATTGAGACTGGTTTAACCTACTGTCTTGTCAACAAGGAGGTGATGCTTGGAACATATAAAAGCAGTTGTATAGCAGGCTGGTTTAAAGCCACTAGAGTGGGTTTTAGTTATTTCAGCACTTCTTGCCAGCTGGTCAGCTTCCCAGCTCACACAACAGCTAAAATCAAATAAGCTGCAAGCTCCATCTGCCTCACCCTGGGGCCACACTGTGCATTACGCAGAGCCCATCATCAAGAAGGAACCCCCTTAACTGTTGGAGGCGCCTGACTTGTCCCATCAACACCTTTCCGCGTCTTTCCCATTTGCAATTTTGCTTGTGTTGTTTGGGGACTGCTCTTGGGAATGTGGACGTGGGATTTCGTTTGCAAGCCTCTGTTCTCATACAGGCAGGTCGGCGGGACTGCATCTGAAACCAAAAACGTGGCTTCTGCTAGAATTACACGTTACCTGTAACTTTTGACTTCCAGTCTCCAGTTTCCCTATTTGGTAGTAGGTTCCCAGAGTTTTTGCGATGGTTCTGCGTCTTCCGGCACAGCTGCTCCTCCTAGTGTCCAACACTTGAGGGATTGCCTGAGTTAAAGCGGACATTCCNCCCGGATACAAGGAAAGGTACCTGAACTCTACTTGTGCCACACAGTATGTACCTTTTGTCCTGTTTTGATACCAGGAATATGAAGCACAGGTATTGGGGAAGGGCTTCAAAATGGCAGGGAGAGCTGTGAGGATTGGGGTCCAAATGAAGCACTCCTGGCCTTCCCCAGATTACTCTGCCAACCACCTTGCCTTACAATCCTATTGTTTGGTAAAGCCATTCTCAACAGGCACCGTGTGGGTCCCCAGGACATTTGAAGCGGGCCCATGACTGGAAACACCTCTTCACACACTACCTGATGAGGTTCATTATGTGACTTCCACCATCTTAATTCGACCTGTATTTCCTTCTGCTGGTGGTTTCCCAGATGATGTACAGCTTTTTCCACCCATTCTCAAAGGTCGAAAGTTTCCCACCTCGAGTGCTCCCAGCATTCAGGATCTTGGATTTATTCCACCTTGAACTTTAAGTTTCTTGTTTGAAGGACAACTCCCATCAACTCTCAGACTGCCTATCCAAGGGCCATGCAGCCTAACAGATGACGGGAGATGCATCCCTCCAAAATGTAACTTTTCCAAGCAAGAAAGCTCCTGGCGGAACAGAAGACTTGCATTCAGAACTTTGCAATTTTGAGACTCCCTGTATATGAGGACACTCCTAATCATGGTTCAAAAGTTTTGGGCCACGCACATCCCAGTGATCTAACTTTGCCTAGCGAGGTCCCCAAAATCATTATGGTGCGGTATTCCACAGCCCAGTTGAAGGTGCTTAGCCCAGACTACATGAAACGTTTTCCCCATTCGTGGTCTCCAATGCTTAGGCAGAGTGTTCAACGTACGTGGCAGGTTCTTCCACAGAGGCATCACTGAGATTCTTCCCTCTCAAAAATTTACAGAAGTTACCGTTTTCTGAAAGTGCTGCAGGACATCATTTCTGCTGATAACAATGATGTTGTAAAAGGGAGCTCAAACATGCTAGGTTTTATTTTAATGAGATTTTAAAATTGCTTTACTGCATGTAATACAGTGTTGCCTTGCTAGACAGTTACCCCGCATGACAGTTTTTTCGCTAGACATTAACTTTTTGCGATCGCTATAGCGATTCGCAAAACAGTGATTCCTATGGGGGAATTTCGCTGGACAATGTTTGGTATCTGCTTCGCAAACTGATTTTCGCTAGATGATTTTGACAGCTCCCTCCGCGCTTGCAAAATGGGTGTTTTCGGGACCTAAGCTTCGCAAGACAGCTATTTAAACAGCTGATCGGTGGTTCGCAAAGCGGCTTTCCTATGGCCGATCTTCTCTAGACAACGACGATTCTTCCCCATTGGAACACATTAAACAGGTTTCAATGCATTCCAATAGGGAAATGCTTTTCGCTAGACAATGATTTCGCTAAACAGCAATTTCAGCGGAACAGATTATCATCGTCTAGCGAGGCACCACTATACACATGTTGGTATTACTGCTATTGCTGTAAACCTTCAAAACAATGGACTTTCATTCTTACCACCCCACTCCACAACCAAGGAAATAAATGGCCCAGTCAATGTAAGGAAAAGCCTTCTGTATTGAGCGTCACAAGGATTTTATTGTGGTCCACTGTAATTTGCCTGACAACTGGTGCGCTCCCAACAAAGAAGGTGAATAAGAATAAATTAAAGAGGAACTTTTAAGCCAAGGGGCAAGGGAGCGGGCAGCCAGGGCTGTTGGGCAATGCAGGCAGCCTGGGGCTGGCTTTCTTCAGAGCAGAAGCAGGTGGGGGCCCTGCTTTCTTGAAGGGAGAGAGAAGACAAAGAGGCACAACAGCCACCATCTTTGGGCCTGTTCTCACTCAGGTACCGGCTTCACTTGCTTTGCTGCTTCCAGCTGGGTTAACATTTCATCCCATTGGACGAACTGTTTCGAGAGGAGCAGAGTCTGCAGAAATCGTTTTAAGGAAAAGAACAAAGGAAGAGCGTGCAACAGGCTTAAACAGAAACAGGAGAGGGAGAGAGAGACTGCTAAACATGTTTAGGGTTTCAATGGAAGACTGAAAATAGTCAGCACAAGACTCCTCCACCCCACCCCCCGGTTTTGCAGTAGACAGAACTCTGACCCGACCAGGCCGCATGGAAAAGATGTCCCTTGACACATGCTAGACAAGTATACGGTGATAGAAAGGATACCATTTTGTTGTAATCTTCCAGGAGCTGTCGAACGTTCTCTGTCACGGCTTCACCTTGATCCTGCAAGGCCATAAGAACTCGGTTAAATGTCTCTACTTGACATGCTGCAAGGCCAGCATTTTAGCACTAAAGAAAAATATTACAAACACTGTTTCCTATAGAAGGAACAACGTGACGGGGGTCTCACGTGGAGTACAACCTGTCATGATTCACTCTTCGGTATGACACAAGGGCACTTCAATGTTTCTGCTGTGCTGTACCAGCCTGTCTGAATCCCAGATATAAACCCTGGAAGCCACATAGGAAAGTGAGCTTGGATACAGTGGGGAAGGAGCGCCGGCTAGCCTGCCCACTAGAGAAGAGCAGGGCTTGCCCAGAGCATTGGAGGGGGGGGGCTTTTCTGCATGAAAGCACAGAAAGGGGGGAGGGGAAGAGGAAGGGATTCCAGGAAAGAGTAGACATCATCTGCCTTGTCCCCCTTTGGAATGCAAGTTGAGTGACCCTCAAGGCTAGGATTCAGTATTGTATGACACAGGAGATGTCTGAGCGTAAGTCTGGCTAAGAAGCTGCAGTAACCGCAGTCCCAGAATGTTTTTTTTCCCCCAAACATGATATCCAAGTTTCCTCCTGAGAGCCAGACGCCTTGGAAGTGCCAAAGTCAGGTTTGGATTTCACAATGCCGGCTCGTGCGCCCTTGTCCCCTTCTAGTCCGGCTCTGAAAACCTGGGAAGATTTTGCTTTTGTTTCTGCTTAACTGTGAAGTGTGCATCAGGAGGAAAACCCCAGGGAAAGCCGATTTCCGCAGCCCTTCAGAGCCCACCTTACCTGCTGCTGGATGTGGATCTGTGAAAGCCTCTGCAGCTTCGCCGCATGATCTGGTGCCGCTGCAACAGAGCACAGGAGGACGTTCAGCCTCTGTATTCTCAGGAATGACCAACTGGGACATTTCTGATGCACTTAGAAGGTTAGTCACAAGGGGTGGTCCAAACGTGCTTTTAGCAATGGTCACCCTCCTCTCTCTCGGATAGCCGCAGATTGTAGATTCAACCACTGCAGATCACGAGTTAGTGCCGTTTGCTCAGCCCAGCACCGGCAGTCAAGGTCAAGCGTGGCATAGTCTCTGGGCTTGCGCAGAGTGCTTTAATCTCCCCGAGTCACTACATGCATATACACGAAGTGAGTCAGTGGTGAGAAGGAAACACTTGCATGCAGGGTCAGAAGTGGGCTTGCATATGCTCCAGAGAAGGCTGGATGTCTGACGGCATCAATGGATGAGCAATGGATTTCACATTGCAGGCTTGGGTGGCGCTCTGCAGATGCAATGAGAATCCAGTCAGTAAAAGCTACACCATGCAGCTCTGACTGTATCACCAGCTGGGGCCATACTGCACTCTTTTTGGGAGGGAATTACCAGCTTTCCATCCTCCTTTCACCAGATTCTGGAGCTCTCTAGTTCCTCCTTTGTCCTAGGGAAGCCTTCAGGAGACACAGAACAGGGTACAGAATGACTTAAAGCTGGTAAATCTTCACCAGCAATCCCAGGACCAGGGGTGTTTGTAGCTTTAAATAACTCACTACCTCAATCCTGTGCTTCCTGAAGGCTTCCTAAAATGAAGGGCATTCCTAGATCCTGGTGGGAGGGAAGGGATGGGAAGCATTTAATTCCCTCGAGAGGCCCGAGGCTGATGACATCACTGGAGTTGCACAGCATAACCCACACAACAGCATTCCAGGCAGCGACAGGGCTCCTCTGTGTCGCTGGCCTTTTCTTTGGCACAAAATTACACCACAAACACTGCGTAGTGTGAGCCGAACAGCAACCATCGAGAAAAGTGAAACAGAGGTAGGATCTCAGAGAATGTGATGCCTGGGCCGAGGAACAGGGAATGACTCACCTTTGATATGTGCGCTGTCCAGATACGGTTGCAGGCTATTCACCTGCTCCAGAAGCGCCGCCTGAGCCATGATCGACTGCTCTTCTGGTAAACAACAACACAAGGATATGTATTCAGTGGAGACCGTAATAGCTACCGTTATCATTCAAAGGCCACTGATCACACAGGCTATGCCCAAGCACAGCAGATGAACAACCCAACATTGCTGGAAATGTAATAAGAATGTTTAGCAGTGGAATTCCCAGCATGCTTATTGCAAAATAAGCCCCATTGAGTTCAATGGGGATACAGGCTTACTACCCAAAAACACTGGTTAAATGAACTCGAACTATATGATTTCCATACCCAAAGCATTGTTTTTAAGAGTCCTCAGTGCAAGGCTCTTGAAAAAGCAACATCTTTGTTTACTATTTTTTAACACTCCCTTCTCCTTGCACTCTGTTCAACTCAAGGATTACCTGCCAGGATGAACTGCAGCTTCATGGCATCTGGAATAGCCATTCGATCAATGTAGTGAGGATCCAAATATTTTATAATATCTTCCACTTGGATGAGAAATTGAAAAAGAACAAGAAAGAATTAGGATGTTAGCCTTAGGTAACGATAGAAGTATCGTTCAGAGTGGATGTTTGAAAACAGAGCCAACAAGAAAGAATTAGGATGTTAGCCTTAGATAACGATAGGAGAAGTATTGTTCAGAGTGGATGTTTGAAAACAGAGCGATTTACAACCTCTTAGGATGAGTAATACATTCTCCTGAAACTACAGGCAGCAAAGACGTTGGGTCTGAGGATCAAGGTTTATTCACCTCTGCCCAGAAATTCACTAGATGGCTTGAGGCAAACGGCTGTTTTCAGAAACTCTTCTCTATCTGCTGCAATATGGGGACAATATGGCCAGCGTTCCTTACAAGTCTCTTGCCTGGAATTGAATAAAAACACTCCTCTCTTCAATGAATTGATATCTCAACTTACTTAAAACTGTCAGAGCAAAACTTAAAATACACAGGACGAAATCAAATTGTTAGTCCCAACTGGATGATGAGTTAAACAAGTATCAACTTAATGGCTGAAACCCTGTTGGTTTGTTACACAGTCAGAAGACAAACTGGGGGACATTCACTTACTTACAGCCAGCAATTAAAGAGTCCCCACAGTGACTGCTGGTAAAGGTAAATGTTCCCCTTGACATTTAGTCCAGTCGTGTATGACTCTAGGGCGTGGTACTCATCCCCGTTTCCAAGCCATAGAGCCAGCGTTTGTCTGAAGAATGTTTCCGTGGTCACGTGGCCAGCGTGACTAGACATGGAACGGCGTGACCTTCCCACTGAGATGGTACCTATTTATCGACTTGCATTTTTACATGCTTTCGAACTGCTAGGTTGGCGGGAGCTGGGACAAAGCGACGGGAGCTCACTCCGCCATGGGGATTTGATCTTACGACGGTTGATCTTCCAACCTTGCAGAACAGAGGCTTCTGCGGTTTAACCCACAGCACCACGTCCCCTATAACTGCTAAGCAGCTGCCAAAGGAACAAGAGCACACACCCTTGAGAATCACAACAGCAACTCTTTAACTACCAGCTGAAAGTGAGTAAACATTACACTTTATGCCTTCTGACAATGTAATGAACCAAAAGGGCTACAGCCAATAAGATGTACCCCATTCAGTGGAACTGCTCTACTTGGGAGTAATAAGAATCCACCCATAAGGTAAAACCACATAAAAATTCAGCATCTGAATTGCATAAAATGTCTAGATTACAAGTCAAACACTGTATATTAATTTTAAGAGATTTTACCACAAATTAAAACACTGGATTAAAATACATAAACAAATGCAAATATTTCTGCCTGGCTTGAGAGGACAAAATCATAGGTGCCAATAATGTATTTATTTTGCAAATTTACACTTCTCCCTCCATGTTAGTTTTAGAGAGACAACTGCACTAATCTGTTTCAGCAGCAATAAATTTTATTTTTACTCTGCAGACCAACACAGTGGTTGTGGTTACAAAAACCACATCCTTAGCCTCATCCTATGAGGAAAGATGATTCATGCCATTCACAGCAACCTCGGTGAAAGAAAAGACTGCATAATATTTTTTTTAACCCACCCTCCCCGGCAACACTTTATTTACTGCATTTATATTCTGCCTTTCCACTGAATGAGAGTGCTCCAGGTGGCTTACAAAGTTATTAGAAGAAATAAAAAGATAAACTCAACATTTGCCTAAGACATTAAAAATATATATGTAAACCTCTTCCACAATAAAACACTCAGCAAAATGCTTGTTTAAAAAAATTAAACACATTAACATTAGAAAGGATACAGGTTAAAACAGCACTGCAGGGCAATTTAAGTATTTAAAAAAACCTGTCTAAAAAGGTAGGGTTTTAAAATTCTCTTTTTAACAGCAGACTGGTGAGCTGGTCTTCTGAAGCTGTTGCCATTTTTTAAGATGGCCTCTCTTGAAGATTTTAAAAGTCTGGACAGGCTCAACACGAGACAGGCGATGCCACAGACAGCCAGGCCCTAAACTAATTAGGGCATTAAAATTTTAAAATTTTGAGTTGGGTCCACTAAGGAACTGGCAACCAGTTCAGGTCTTTCAGTATCAGGGTCATATGATCACGACACCATGCACCAGTTAGGAACCTAGCTGCCACACACTGCACTATCTGCAGATGTTGGACCCTATTCAAGGGAAGCTCAACGTAGAATGTACTGCAGTAGTCAAGACATGATGTAACTAAGGTGTGGAGGATGGTTGCTAAGTCTGGTAGACTTAGGAAAGGTTGCAACTGGCGCACTAGGTGGAGTTGTGTGAAGGCATTCAACGTCAGCACCTCTGATTCCTGGGAGTCCAGTGACAGCAACAAATCAAGGAACAGTCCCAGACGATGAGGCAAAGCGCAGCCTCTTCTAGAACAAGCTGAACCCCAATTCCTGACTATGACTTTCTACCAACCTGCAGCACCTCCGTCCAGTCACAATTTAGATGTTATTCCTTTACAACAAACTCTTCAGATTATCTGCTGTCTCCAATGGTCATTAATATCTTCGTCTTAAGCCTATAAACACAAAATTTGTTAACATAAAGGTACTCACTTTTTTTGAAAAGAATTTTAACCCTCTCTCTTTTGCTTGCTATGTTCCCCAGAGCCACCTGGACTTTGACTAAGCCATCTGCTATCTAGGGGAAGAAAAAAAAAGATATTGTTAAAAACAGAGCAGACTGCCGATATGCTGGGTGTCTTAAATGGCACCTCAACAAAGAGTAATGTAGGCAACAGGCTAAGTGTAATCACATCCTTCCTACTTTTATTTACTTATTTATTTAATTAAATTTTTATCCCACCCATCTAGTGGCTAGGACACCACTCTGGGTGGCTTACAAAATCATAGCGTCATAACATAAACATATAACATACTAAAGCAGCAATAATAGTGTAATAAAACTTCACTCAAAAAGAACCAAATTTCTAAATATGAAATATATACCAAAAAAAAAAAATCTTAACAATTGCTTTTAGCAATTAGAACTGAATCACTAAACCCCATTTCAGCAAATAATTTTAATTCACCACTGTACTTAGGTTTTTGCTTAAAACTTGTATCTGTTATATAATACCAGTCAATATTTTATAATTTGAGTTGACTGTGTCTAGTATTTAACAATAACAATAACAATAACAATAGTAATAGTAATAGTAATAGTAATAGTAATAATAATAATAATAATAATAATAATAATAATAATAATAATAATAATAATAATAATAATGGGGAAAATTTCTATACTGTATATACAAAACCTACAATAAAACATTATAGTAGAAGGTGGCGAAACAGAGACAGGAATACTTTCCTGGAACATTGCACCTTTTACACTCAACTACCTGCCAATTTTTCATCTCACCAGATCCATGTCTGTAGTAATTTCCAAAGTCCCAGCTGTATTCACCTAGCTTAGAATAGTAACAGAACTAAAAGTGTGTCCACAGGGGAACAAATGACAAAATATTGTGATACCTTACAGACTAACAGATTTGTTTTGGTGTGAGTTTTCCTGGATCATAATACCCCAAAGTGTTCATCTAGGGCCATCTGTGCTTATGTATATGGCCTATATATACTTTATGTACATGGATGGATGATTCAGAAGGACGACCTCATGTGTTTGAGGAAATGGGATTGGGTTGGTGAAGGGAAGCAGGGTATGGCGAATTTTCTAAACTGGGCTCACCCTCCATTTCAGATCATGCTACTCATTTTTAAAAAGTGGTGCTTGATTCTTTTGTTGTTGTTTAGTCGTGTCCGACTCTTCGTGACCCCATGGACCAGAGAGCATGCCAGGCCCTCCTGTCCTCCAAGGCCTTCCGGAGTTGGGTCAAATTCATGTTGGTTGCTTCGATGACCCTGTCCAGCCATCCCGTCCTCTGTCGTCCCCTTCTCCTCTTGCCTTCACACTTTCTCAACATGAGGGTCTTTTCCAGGGAGTCTTCTCTTCTCATTAGATGGCCAAAGTATTGGAGCCTCGGCTTCAGCATCCTCCTTCCAGTGAGCACATTCAGGGTTGATTTCCTTCAGAACGGATAGGTTGGTTCTCCTTGCAGTCCAGGGGACTCTCAAGAGCCTCCTCCAGCACCACAATTCAAAAGCATCCATTCTTCGGCGGTCAGCCTTCTTTATGGTCCAGTTCTGATTTCCATACATCGCTCCTGGAAAAACCATAGCTTTGACTATTTGGACCTTTGTCTGCAAGGCGATGCCTCTGCTTGATTCTTAGAATGCACCTAATTTGCACTGACGTGAGGATGTTTGGCACCTAAAGTTGGGCTAAAAGCATTGGCATAAAATTATTTCCCTTTTTGGTTTCCAATCTTCTCTATCCAAAGCAGCAACGTGAAGTCTCAAACTAAATCCCACTTAAGCTCTTCTGGGTGGGGGTCTTTGGCTTCTCTGAGCTCACCCCGCTAGGATTTTATTTATTTATTTATTTTGAGGGAAAGGGGAGAATCTTGCCACAGATGACAATTGAATCGATGCCTCCTGGAAAAAGAACGTTGCAAAATTTCTAGGCATTTCAGGGGGATGCTTGGAGGTGTTTTTTTTCTTTTGCCAGAAAGTGGATGTTCATGATTTTGAACAGCATTGGTTTTGTTTACAAGCTTTTGATACAATACTTGTTTGATTCTTTTTTTTTCATTAAAAATTGCCTTTCATAAAAAATTGCATTTAAATATTGTCCCTTTCAAGGATGTCAGCCGCCTTTTGAAGACGAAAAGCAGAACAGAAATATTTCATATAAATAAGATATAAATAAAGAGAGAAGACAGGCTGCTCGTTGCCTTTGTTAAGAAAACCCTCTCTCTTTTTTAACCCTTTGGGAAGCTCACTATCCGAGGCCATTAGCCTATTAATATGTCACTCCTCTGCAGATCATCCTCCTCCAGAAGTCTGAGAAGGAGGAGGAGGATCATCATCATCCACCCACACTCCCGCTGCCACGCCCTTGGGGCTGCCCTGGAAGGCTCGCCAGGTAAGGCTCGGCAGGCACCTTCGTTTCGCCAGTCAAGACAAGGGCTGGCCTACAACTCCCATCCGCCGCCGGGGATGATGGGAGCAGGAGTCCAGAGTCCCCGGAAAGGCCTTCCTGGAAGGGAAAGGCCCCAGAAGCCGTTTACCTGGCGGGAGCTCCCGGCGCCTTCGGCCCCTCCGGCCGCCCCGAAGACGCGCTCCTCCAAGGCGTCGAGCCGGCTCTGAAGATGCTGCACCTCAGCCGCCGCCACCGCCATCTTGCCTCCCCCTGAGCCACCGGAAGCTCGGCGGGAGGGGAGCCAATCGGGAAAGGCTTGGCCGGAAATGGGGCGGGACTCTGTCCGTGGTTGAGAGAGAGAGAGAGAGAGAGCGCTCTAGCCGCTGAGGAAGGCCTTCGTGTGTGTCCGTGGCTGCTCTCTCTCTCTCTGTCTCCCAGCTCTATCATAAAAGCCACCCTTTCCGTCTCCGTCAGGCCGAGACCGACCGGAAGTGTGGCGCCGGGCCGCCCCGCTCTATCTTTCGGCACTCGGTGGTAGCCGCTCCGCTCATACCCGCGACGACCGGAAGGTCGTCCTACTGCAACCCGGAAGCGTCTTTTCTTGTCTCTCGGTGTCTGGGGTTGCTATGGCGACCCTCCTCCGGGGCCGCGTCCTTGGGCTCCCGCGCTTCCCTGGAAAAGTGAACTGTGGGGACTACAAAGCCCAGGATCCTCCGACCAGCATGGGTACAGTAGTCCAGAAAAAAGGAACTTCTCCGGGTTCTGGTCTCGAGCGCTGCGCTCCTCCGAGGGGCCTGGCGGAGGGGACCGCTCCCGGGTGGGATGATGATGATGATGATGGCGGCGACGACGACGATTCTTGATTGACTCCCTGACTCCTTTTTTTAAAAAAAAAGTTATGATAGTTTTAAAGATTTGCCGGCTTTTATTTATTCCTTTGCACTTTAATTAGCATGTACAGTAGTTTAACCGATTGTGGTTTTAATTATTATTATTATTTTAAATATATACTTTGGGCCGCCTTGGGTCACTTGGTCGGGAGAAAGGCGGCCTTTAAGTCAAACCGACAAGCAATCCAGCCTGGCCAGCCTGCTCGATCAAGGCCACCCTTTCAAAAGTCCTAAATGTGGTGTGTTTTTTTCCAAATTGTTTTTTATATGCTTTGCATGCACTGTTCATTTGCATTTTGTTATTTTCTTTTTTTGTCGAATTGTATTTTAATTATGTTTTGTGTGTATGTGTTGTCAAGTTAAACTACCCAGAGTGGCCTTTGGCCAGATGGGTGGCAAAATAAATAAATGAGTGAGTGAGTGAATGAATGAAGGAGAGAGAGACACAGAGAGAAAAGAGGAAGAGGAGACAGTTCCTTGTTGTTTAGTGCTTAAGTCATGTCCGACTCTTGGTGATCCCATGGGACCAGAGCACACGCCAGGCCCTCCTGTCTTCCACTGCCTCCCAGATTTGGGTCAAAGTCATGTTGGTTGCCTGGTCGCTGCGATGACCCTGTCGAACCATCTCGTCCTGTGCCGTCCCCTTCTCCTCCTCTTGTCTTCACACTTTCCCAACATCAGGGTGTTTTCCAGGGAGTTTAAAAATGCCTAATCTAAATCTAATTATCTTTTTAATTCAAAGCTTCATACAAGCTACAGCAAAGTTTTCACATAGTTGGTGTTTTTTTTTTTTAACTAGCTTAAAAAGTTTAGCGGGAGGAACTACTTTTAGGAAGAGGAACCCAAGGTCATAATCCTCATTGGATCAGAATTATTTAGTTGTTTTATTTATAGGCTACCTTTCCCCCCAATAAGGGGACCCAAAGGACCCTAGCCTTTGGTCTAAGGAGGTTGAATTGTTTCCATTATGCCTAATTCTGTAGACAACTCTGTGGGAAAATATATGAGGAAAGGTTAAGGAAAGGACCTGTAATATGCCATCTCTAGACATTTGCAGCAATACAATACAGTATCTTTAAAACGCGTATTTAAGACTCAGTACAAATTTGCCATCTTTGGTTGTTTCTAAAGCACTTCAGCTTCACCTCTTATTGGGAAAGAAATGCTGGTATTGACTGAAAACACCCAGCGGTTAGGCAGGCGTTGGGGCTGAAAGGTACTGAGAAGCCCTGTCTCCTGATTTGAGGAGCCCTCATGCCTTTTGAATTGATGCTTTTGAATAGTGGTGCTGGAGGAGGCTCTTGAGAGTCCCCTGGACTGCAAGGAGAACAAACCGATCCGTTCTGAAGGAAATCAACCCTGAGTGCTCACTGGAAAGACAGATCCTGAAGCTGAGGCTCCAATCCCTTAGCCATCTCATGAGAAGAGAAGCCTCCCTGGAAAAGACCCTGACGTTGGGAACGTGTGAAGGCAGGAGGAGAAGGGGACAACAGACGACGAGATGGGTGGACAGGGTCATTGAAGCGACCAACATGAGGCCGTGAAAGACAGGAGGGCCTGACATGCTCTTGTCCCTGGGGTCACGAAGAGTCAGACATGACTTAATGACTAAACAACAATAACAACATGCCAATCTCAACTAGTTGTGAACTGTCCATGTTCAGGGAGACACAGAAGGGAGGCTAAAGCAGTCTGTACATGCCTCTGAGACACTGCAAGACATATAAAAGGCCTGTGAGGTATGTTCCTGCAGTTATAAACATCGTAATCCGCGTGTTTAATAAAAAATGACATTTTTTTGAATTTATTGTGTGTTCTATACAGTGAAGAGGAAATCAACATTTGCAACAGTGACGTACAACAGATTTGGGATAAAAGTGAACTGAGACAGAGATGCAGAGTCCCAATAAGCAAGAGCAAGAGTTACTGCACTGCTAAGGCAAAGCAGAACTATGGGTCTATTGTTCCAAATATTGCCGTGAAATTTTAGGGATGAATACATCTCACTAATACTAAAGAAAACCCAGTGGAGTGGAATTTATACTGGGATGTTATCATTTTTGCGCCCTTAACAGATGAGATTGCATCTCCATACGGGTGAGTGCCGACCACCTATTTCCAGTTTTTGAGCAAGAGAGGACAGCTATCTTCCTGGTATTGTGCTATTAGCATGGCTTCCTTAAAGCTATTCTTGTTATCCCAGTAAAGTGAAACACAAGCTGTAGAAATAATGCAACACAGCCATCAGCTAGAGTTAATATTACAGGTGAAAGGCTGCTGGAACCAGAGTGATTTGACTGCACATTTCCAAGCCAATAAAGATGAACAGGCCTGGGTTGATCATCCTGATCAAGGATTTCGGCAAGGTAGATGCCATCTCTAGAAAGACCTGCATTTTTTGTGCAAGTCCGACCAAGCAAAGCAATTATGTACACCTCGGGTCTGATCCTGCAAGGCAATTTTTTTATGCTTCCTCCTTTGCAAGGATCCAAGTCTCTCTTGTATTGTTCATTGAGGTCCCTGAGTCTTTCTTTGTCCGCTGTATGCAGAATAGACAATGTTGAACTCGACACAGAATTCTGGATTCTGTCAAACACATTCCTGTTTGCATCTTTTATACAGTGCTTCCAGGACTTACTGTCAGTATCCAAGAGAAAATTCATGTCCAGAGTTTTATTGTATCATTACCAGTAAGAAGGGAGTTGCTATATGTTTTCTCGTATCTTTTCATGCAAAATTTTGTATTTCTAGCTCTGCTTGTTTCAATAAGAGGATTACAACATCCACAATCACTCAGCTAGCTATGGCCAGGCACGGAATAACCTAACCAGTTAGGTGTAACCTAAACATGAAAAATACTACTGTTTCCTGCTCTTGGTTTTGTTTTGTTTTTTTAATTAAGAGGGCCATGACTCCCAGAATCACTTAACCAGTCTGGCCAGTTATGTAAGTTAGGACATCAATAGTATAGTGTGCTGTATTTTGTATTTCTAACTTGTACCCAGAGATGGCTAGTGACTTTCAGTTTCAGGAAAATGTGAACCCACTCTGGGTTTTATTGGGTAAAGTACAGACTAGGACCTGGAGGGGATTCACAGCCCTCCTGAAATCAGTCACTAGCTCCCATCGCTTTTGCCATTTCAGTAAGAAAATTACACCTCACAGAATCAATCCCTCAGGAATGCTTTTTGAATTAAAGCTCCCATCATTCCTGCAGCCAGCACTGCCCCGTGAGAGGTAACTTACCCAGATATTTAATTTGGGAAATCAGAACTTTGGAAAAGTTTGTGTTTCTAGGTCCTAAAATGCAGAGATCAAACCTTCAGTTTATAAGAGACGCTTTGTGGACTGCAGACCACTTCATTAGCTGCACAAGGGCTTTAGTGCCTCATGCCAAGTAAAATGCTTTAGTCCTTGAAGAACCGCAGGACTCCTCCTTAACTGGCATAAGAAATCTATTTCCTAGAGCTGCTTTATGATGGTTTATTTCTCAACCAGTTTAAATCTAATTGAAAAGCTACAGACCTGGAAGTTCTGAATGTCGAAATGATTGACTTCATAAGAAGCCCTGTAGTGCTAAGCTCTGCTCCCCTGGAACAAACCATGGTTTCAGGACGGACAAAAAAAGCCTGGAAAAGGCACGGATTTTGTCATTGTTTTTACTAAGGTAAGCCTTGCATCGTATGGGTCTTAGGAAAAACCTGGATAACATCAGCAATGAATCAGGTATGTGACGGAGGACAAAAGAGGTGGGAAAGACTGCTGCCTGAGGCCACGGAGAGCCATTGCCCTTCAGTGGATACAACAGCAAAGGAGAGTAGAGTCACTGCTGGCCAGATGGGCGGTATATCAAACACACAAGGGGTGGGCAAAGTGTGGCTTTCCAGTGTTACTGGACTGAAACTCCCAGCTGCCCTTAACACTGGCCGTGGTGGCTAAATATAATGGGAGCTACAATTCAATATGATCTGGTTGGTCATGTTTTGCTTATCTTTGAGCTAGGTGACCTGACAGTCTCTCTCTCTCTAGAAGGGCAGGTTCCTTCAAAAAGACATCAATCAAGTGCAAAACAAAACTCATAGAAGACGTGTCAGGAAGGTATGGACACCCCTGCTTGCGTAGGGTAAAAGCTCCGGTCTCTCTCTCCCCCCCAAACAAACAGCACCTGCCTCATAGGTGTCCGGCAGTCATTTAGCACACTCTCCTGTCACTGGATATGAGTAATTTTTAATTTGCGCTCTCGGGAAGTCAGCTGAAGTCAGCAGCTCCTATCAATACTGGTCCACTTACAGCGCGGGGCAATGTAATGAAAATCCGATGGGAGGACTGGCGGGAGTAAATAAGTATGCCATTAAAACGAGAAAATCAAACCCCCAGACAGGTCTTTTCTCTCCCCCATTGATTCCT